CTTGTGGCTGCCCATGGAAGCTCAGGGCTGCCCATGGAGGCTCATGGAGGCTCAAGGCTGCCCATGGCCGATGGTCTCTCCGCTGGATGAGCTGGCCGGATGGCCGGGCCCAGGGAATGGTGGGGACTGGATCCAGTGGCGACCGGTCCCGCGCGGTGTTGCCCAGGGCTCAGTTGGGCCCGTCCTCTTCAATGTCTTTACCGACGAGCTGAGCGCAGCCTCGGCCAGCCTGCAGGCGACACCAAGCTGGGAGGAAGAGCCCACCTGCTCGAGGGGAGGAAGGCCCTTGCAGAGGGACTTTATTCCTCTCCCTTTTTTTCATTTTTTTCCCCCAAATTCAAGAATAACAGTTACCTTTATTTAACACGTTACACATCTCACAGATTTAAAACGCAGAGGGATGCGGGCAGGTTGGATGGCTGGGCTGAGGCCTCCACACGGGGTTCAGCTGCACGAACACGAGGCAGCAGGGAGAAGTGGCCAAGGGGCTCCCGGCTGCTGTGAGGGACACGTGGCCAGCAGGACCAGGGAAGGGATCGTGCCCCTGTGCTCAGTGCTTCCAGAAAGCTGGAAGGGAAAACACTGCGACCAATTCACTCATTTCTATGTCTTTATAAACACATTCCCTCACCCTGCGTGCGGCTTCTAAGCATCTTCCAAGGGCTCCTTCTAAGCATCTTCCAAGGGCTCCTTCTAAGCATCAGGCCAATGCCCTGCTCGTTTCCGATGTGGAAGGGTTTGCAGTGTCTTCAGCTGAGATTTTGGAATTTCCCCCTGCCGCCAGCCAGAGCGCTGCGGAGACGGGATGGAGAAGGGAAGGCTCAACCTGCAGGGAAGCTAATGGATCCCAGTGGCTGCCCCGAATCAAGAGCAGAGAAGGAGAGAGGAGAAGCCAGGAGAGCGTCAAGTTGGTTTAAATAACGTGCTCCGATCGCCGCCGCGGCGGAACGAAGAGGCTCCCGCTCCCGAGGTCTGTGGGAAGGTTGTTCCCGGCCTGTCAGCATCCAACCCAGCACGAAGCACTGCGGGAAATACTTAAATCACATTTTATTTCCTTTTTTTTTTTTTCCAAATTCAAAAATAACAATGACCTTTATTTAACATGTTACACGTCTCACAGATTTAAAATATCATGCTCTATTTAAATATCTGAGTGACAACACTATACAAATAAAAGGTTCCACAAAATATATTTAAGAAAATGTTTTGGTCTTTAATCTGAACAATAAATAGACAGGCACTTCTACATATACAAAGGAAGCAATCACTATTTAGAATAACTCTTAAGCAAGATGTGGAAAACAGGAAAATAAATCTGAGTTTTGAGAACATGTTTAACCTACATGAGACATCATGCAACTGCAGAAACCGTTTCCAAACTCGAAACTTGCAGGATCTGCACAATTCTGGCTTTGCCACCACTTCAGAGGAGAGCTCCCGGCCGTGCCCTCAGGAGTAGGGGGCAATGTCAGTTATTAAACCAGCCCAAAGCAAAATCTCTTCTTTCCCCTTTTATCTTCAGCTTTTATCTTTTATAGGGCGGTTGAAACTATATTATACTTTATTTTCCTAGTGCAAAAAAGAAATAGAAGCATCATCCAATAAATCCTTTTAGGGGAGATCCTTGGGACGCCGGCACGCTTTGCACAACTGAGCGCTGGCAAAGGAGAAAATACTGGTCAGGGGTGCAAAAAGACCAAAACCCATACACTTAAAAAAAAAAGAAATAAATTAAAAGAAAAAGCCACCTGCAATTCCCAGTGGCACTTCACTCACCCCCAAGCAAACGTTACAAAGGGAAAAACCAGCTCCCACCATCACAATTACTGAACCTGTCGTAGGCAATTCCTKCTTCCAGTCTAGCTAACCAATCCAGGGCCACTAGTTACATCTTTGACATTTTCTTTCTTTTTCTTTTTTAATTTAGGCAAATATTGAAACATAATGACCACTAGAACAGTGGAAAATAATCAGGACCAAGTCTTCATGCCATCCCCTCAGCTTTCAGTATTATTCTCACTTCCAGAAGCCCTGGAAAAACTTTTCTGGAAAAAAAAAAAGCTGAAAATTAAGCGGTGCTTCAGAGGTTCACCAAGGCAGACCCGAACTTGGGAAGTTATTTGGACTTAGAACACTTACACACATCACTTCAACAATTTAGGTGTGGATCTTGCAAGCGTGTCCAGATCTTTATCATTTCTTGAGGTTTTCTACTATGTACCAGCATTAAGTTTGTGTAGGAACATATGTTATTTCGGTATTTCTCTTCGATATCAAACGTTTTGAAGCCTTTGTGTTTTTCCGGAGCAAGGCCCAGCTTCTGAAGGCACATTCCAGTATAAACGTCATCGATAGGATACAGGAGCACCTGGTCAGACGCGTTATTCAGTCTCAGTGCTAGATCACCCGAGTACAGAAACCCACCACCGCCTGCGTAGGGAGGATACGAACCTTCATAAACACTTTCTGGGATGTAGTACTTCAATTTTTTCTCTCTGTGAGGTCCAGCATCTTTGATCACATCACCTATAAACAAGTCTTTGGCTTTGTCCTTTGATAAGCTCTTCAAGTAATCCAGGATCTGATGGGTATTCACAAAAACATCATCATCCCCCTTAAAAATAAACTGGACGTCTGCGCAGCTGCTGCTGACCCACTTGAGAAACAGCACCTCTTTCAGAGTCAAATTGAAGAAAGTGTCTCTGTAGTTCCAGAGGAGAATGTCTTGGTGGGTCTGACTCTCAAATTTTATCATGTCTGAAAGATCAGGGAAATTATCTTCTGGCGGGGTCTGCCCGAGCAAGAAGACCCTTCTGACGGTTACATCCCCCGAGTGTATTTCCCTGCCCCAGGACTCCCGGATCGCCTGCCTCCTGTCGAAGTGTGGCGTCAGGGACTTGATAGCCAGCAGCAGGAAGGGTTTGTGTTTGCACTTGTTCGGCTGATCCATCAGCAACGAGTAATTTCTGCACCTCAGATACAGCAGGAAATCTTTAAATCGTTCGGGTAAGTTTGCAAAGTCACTGACCTCCGACGTCACCCACGGGTCGGGCTCGCAGGAGCTGAGAACGCTGGAGTTAGCAATCAAGTTCTCTTCCACCGTCATATTGGAAAGCATGGACAGAATAGGGTTGTAGAGCAGCTCCAGCTTCTGCTGCTGCTTATTCCAGTAAGCTTTGTGAGGGGTGTACTTCCTCCAGAACTTGCTGTGTGGTATGATAACGCGTCCTTTGGCATTCTTCTCCTGGCTGCCACTCTTGGAAACTTCCACAATCACATAGATGAAAATGTTTACCATCATCAGAATTCCCAGCAGCTTTAGTCTTCTGCGTCCAACACTCATTTCTCATACCTGGAAAGAATGGGAAAAAGACAAAAAAGGGAGATTTGTGGATTTCTGCCTGGTAAGTTATTGATTTCAGAAAACTGCAAACTGCTTTCGAGCAAAGATGTGTGAGTTAGTAGCATGAATTCACAGGCTACCTGGATCAGAAATGTGAAAACTAATGTCTCTCACACATGCACACGTACAGCTTAGTATGGGAGTGGGTTTCATCASCAAACAAGAGAACAACAAGCAGGTAAAAATTCCATTTGCTGCTTGGGAATTTTAGGGAGCATTTCACACTGCACCCAAATTTGTAAGCAGCTTCTGATCCTCGTTTATGTTTACCGGAATTATTTGATTGTGTAAGAGTTAGAATCTGAGCACTCAGCATGCTGAAGAGGTTAGAGAAACTTGTTTTTTTGCACCAGTGAGGAGAGCTTAAGGATACAGCATGAATTGCTAGATAATAAGGGTCACTTAAGTGTAAACTAAGTTTCAAGCTTTAGACGTGTTCTCTTATACCTTCAAACTACAAAAGAGTCGGAGCTGATTTTTAGAGCACAGTTTGTCCATCTCATTTGCTGAAGGAAGGAGAAAGGCTGACAAAACCCACCAGCTGCAACACTCAGGTGCTCAGATCTCTGCAGAGAGGAGAAAACATGAATGTTGAGTTTTCCTCCAGCTAGAAAAGGAAATGGATGGCAGCAGAATATGCAATTACTTCTAGGCAGAGAACAACGGAAASCAAAAAGGAGAAGTTTCCTAGATGTAAGGCCAGGAAGCGTGTGACGCGATCAGAGCGGAGGCTGCTGCGCTGGGACCCAGCCCCAGTTCGTGCTGGGGCGAAAGGAGGATCAAACCCTCCTCCTTCCACCGCTGCCAGACCAAGGGCCTCRGCACGAGGGGCAACGGAAGGGCAGATTTCTATGAATGAGGGGTCAAACTACGGGATAAGAGGGCTACAGAATCGGTGTATAAGCTGCTCAAAATCTACAAAGTCATTCCAATGCTGGAAAACAGATGACAACAACTATATATATATATATATATAAATATATATATATATTAGAACAAGGAAAAAAATAGAAAGACTACAGTTGTCAGATGTGAAAYTTGCAGTTAACGAAGCTTTCATTCACTGCAAGTGCAAATGATCTTAGGAAGATCAGACAAACCTAACRAAGCAGAGATTCACAGGGGCTATTAAAAGGAATAAAACAGTTGCAAACACCAACTCCAAGGTCCCCTGGCCACAGGGCAGCGCCGGGCGGGAAGGTGGACTGCACCGATCTGCTGGGTGCCCACATCTGGGTGCTTATTTCCAGCCATCACCTCCCAGACGTGGCAAGAGCCTGGGCTAGACAGACCTTTGGTCTGATCTAGTTTAACTAGTCTTCCCTTTACTCCTTGGCAGGTGAAACACAGAATTTGCTAAGAAAGTAGCCAGGAAATAAACAGTAATGTGTTTTTCTCCACCCCTCTTCATTTGATCAGTGGGTTCTCACTGAACCCCAAAGGGAAGCATTACAAACAGGCAAACAGAAAAATCACAGTCAAAAAAATACAAAGAGGAAGACTTCTCTGCCTTCCTCTGGCCTCCTGCTACACAGGCTTAGCTGCTCTATGCTCAGACCAACTTTAGGTCAAGCCCTGCTCCCCAGCAGCCAGCAAGGCTGCAGCTGGAGTGTAAAGCAGCTYTCTTGCGGAGCTCTGTGTCTTGCCAGTGTCCCTGTTGAGCTAAGCAGCTGCTGGAAAGCACTGGCTGCCTGCACAGGCACGGGCTTGCAAGGAACGTCATCCCCCTCTTCCAACCGCTGCAACAGCGGCCACCAAAAGCGTAGATAAAGCCTTTCCTAAACTTAAACTCCACCAAAGTTTGATGAAAAGAAGAAAAAGGACAGAGAGAGTAAGGAAACACATTTCTTTTCTCCAATGCCAAGAGAGCTAGGTAACAGATGAAGATAACATCTCAGAGAAAGCCTGTTAGTCCTTTGAAACTTCACCGGRCTGAGTGAAAAGCCCGAGTATTCAGCAGTTAAAAACGCCTCCCGTCACACAGCACCTTCCCTTGCATTAAAGCACACAGGCAGCCGTTCCCACACGTTGCTCTTTCCTTCTTTCCCCCTCGGCAGACTCACSGATCCCTGCAAGCAGCTTCCCTGCAACCTGCACAGCGCCTGTAGTTCCCAGCACTGCGTTTCCTCGCAGCGTCCCCGAAGTTTCTATCGCATTTCTCAGAACAACAAAACGCCCGGGATTTAACCGAGGAGCCCTGGGACAGTTGCTGCAGCCAGTCCCTCTACTAACAGCAAACACACCCACGAATTGTCAGAGCACTCAGTGTCTTTTTAGAAGCCCATTTTCTTCTTACATCTTTCACATGGAGCACGATGCAGCTCTTCTATTGACACCAACTCCTAAGCAAAGGGCATCTGGCACCTCCCCGCATTATCTCTTGGATGCTCGACCAGGTTTCTATGACTTAACTGAAGTCTTCTGAGTCACTAGTCTTTCAAGCTAAGCATTTAAGCTCCGTCAGCACAAGATCTTCCTTCACCTCCTGTCATTCCTGAAGGCCTCGCAGCGCCAGGAYGGGGATCCCAGGGGAAAGGCTCCCTTTACTGCTTGACTTGGTAGATGGTTTTGCCAACAAGAGCCACCAGCCAGGCAAGAACAAAGTGCCCCCAACAAACCAAACACGGTCAGTGCTACCGGTCCCACATATAATTACTTCAGCTATGAATTTTCAGTGGCCTTCTCTAAAGGGGTATCCACTAATACTGATAAAATTAATATTTCTGAGGAAAAAAAAATAGGTAGCATTCAGTATGAACACAAACAACATTTTTTTTAAGACCTGACCACTCTCATACAACAATTCACGACAACTTCATCTGGCATTYATGTTACATAATTACAAACTATCAACATGTACTTTAACAGTGTTATATCAATACAATATAATTTTCAAAGAAAGTGGTGCCTTTTTTCTAAACTAGACAAAGACTTCAAACACTTATTTCCAGAATTAGACTGATTCTCAAACTAGAAGCAATGTATTCAGTGACAGACTAATGCAAGAGATTTCAGAARAGCTTCTTCTATGAATAGACAGAAATAAAGACAGAACATTCACTAAGAGGATGCCAATTAGCTCCATTAATGTGAAATTGCCCAAGTTTAAATCACAAAACTCACCAGCAGAGTACTCATGACAGGCTTTTCTTTGCCTAAAAACCCCAAACAAACCAACAAACACCCCAACCACAGCCCAGTCGCCAGACAACTTGCTTCCCATCTGCTCTGCTCTCACTGCAGTGACTGACCAAAGGGCAACGTGGTGGAAATTTTCTGTGCCGGGCAGCTTGCCAAGGAGCAGTGTCGAAGGGTACAAGACAGGCCCATTTCCCACCCACAATTTAGAGGCAGCAATCTGGACACATCACAACCACCTTCTCCTGTTCCAGTAATAGCCTCTTCTCCTCTTGGGCTGTTGAGAGCAGAGGGATGCCCAGAAGAAATTAAATATGACCAATTCATACCTACTTAGAGCACATTGTTACATAGTTTTGTTGAAGTTTCATTTGTCCAAATGGTCACATTTTCGCTCACATAATGAGTTTTGAGCTGTATAGCTATGAAATTGTTAGGCTTTCATTTCATGCATACAAAATCCATCATTTGCTACCAAGTCTTCAGCATGTGTCCATATGGCTAGAACAAAGTGTTAACATTAAGCACACTCTGGACAAACCACAGGTCTGCTAAAAATGCAAGAATAGGATGCGCGTATTCACATATGTAAGGGTGAGATTTACGTCTTTTTTGGCTCCACTCTGTTCTCTCACTTCACAGCAGGCAAGAACTAAGGTATTGGTAAAAAGAAACGAACTTACAAAGTCGCAAGGGAAGCTCCAGGAGCAAGAGATGAAGAGAAAAGACAAGGCAGCAGAACATGGGAAGAAACACAGCTTCACTGTGTACCAGGCAGTAATCAATAAAACAAGAAAAAGAGAAACACAAGAAAGAAGAAAGGGAAAAAAGAAAAAAAAAACATTATAAAGAAATGATGAGCTACAAGAAGATCCCAGGCACCCAAAAAGTCCAAATAATGTTAATGTCAAATAGCCAGAAAATTKAATTTGCCAACCAAGGGGTATTCTTTTATGCTTTATCTCTAGGGCAAAYACATTCTAAAAACCTGTAGGGATTCTGTTTAGCAGCCCAGAGGAGCAAGCATAAAACTRGCAGTCTCACTCCATGCAGTAGTTAGGCTACTACAAAAAAACAAACAACAAAAACCCCCACAAACTTCCATGTTAAGTTGTAATCAAGCAAAGCCAGTTTGTGTTTGCCTGCAATAATGCAAGCGGTCTCAGCTAAATTAAACATGGATTGGAAAGACTAAATCAAAAGAGAATGACTAAGTTTTTCTTTTCTCCAACTTCTCTTTGGATGCTGTGCATTTCACAACGACTCACCAGCTCCTGCYGTGGTCTCTGCCCAGTCCTGCCTGCCCCAGCACCTCGAAACGTGCAGTTTGGTCACACAGGAGATCAGCTTGGACTGAGCGGAACGGTTCCGACTTCAAAAGCACCTCAAAAGCCAGAGGTCTTGCTAAAGGCAGTCTCAAGAAAACACACACTGCTTCACTGGTTTGATCAGTTTGCACTTTGGGTATCCAGCGGTAACTTCCAATAACTCAATTTGTAGCACTCTTGTTGCCCTCCAAATACAGTAAAATTTGGAATTTCATAGAAATTCTGTCTTAACATTCATTCAAGTGGAAAGTAAAAGACACCTGTATTTGCAGTCCAGTGAGCGTTACCCTATATATTTAGGCCAAAGAGGAATTTTAAAGACTTGGAACATCCTTCAACACCTGGATTTCAGCAGATGCTGGACACTGCCCATGGCGAACAGTGCAGTTTGTCTTTTCTACAGTTTTAGAGCAAGACACTCCTGCATTTTAACTGGAGAAGCTCCTACAAATGGTAAATCCTSTCAAGGCAGAGCAGAACAGCTCCAGGAAATAAGCTCAATCAAGATACATCTGCACCCATGTGAAGTGCTAATGTGCTCTAAGAAGCTGCACTACAACTTCTCCCTCGCAAGAAAGGTCTCCCTCCATATGCCGCTTAACTCAATTCAGTCCAGTAGTTAAATAACTGACTTAAAAACAGAAAAAAAAAMCCCAAACCCAACTTTAAAATGCTCTAGTATCATCCTTACAAGGCTATGGATTCAGTTGTCAACGTTAGGCCTGCAGACCTCTTGCAACAGCCTTAACTTTTGCTATCAGACAAGGAGAAGTTATGACCACAAGCACAGGAGCAGAACCCTTTCTAAATGCTGACCTACTTCATCAGGCACTAAAGCAAAAGCAGGTTCTTAAGTGAACAGTTCCCCTCTCACTGTTTCCTACAGCTGCTTGTGTCTCACAAAGGTGACGTTTCACAAAGCCTGTGTGCATTTACTACTTCCTAAAGTGAAAAATGTTCCTGTAAAAAACRTCCCAGGAGGGTTATTAACATGATGTATAGATCTGAGGAATGCAAAAGCATGTAACTTTTGAAATATGATTGATAAAAACTGGCACTTRTTTGATAAAATGACTTCAAATGCAYGTCATTTTCTTTAAATACAAGT